GGATGATTCAACCACTCAACCACTAGATGTCGCTGAAAACAACAAATCCTACACACTGTGCCTTTAAAAAGCAATCAACATTTTGGAGTCAAACTGATTCATGATGGCTGCTGAAGAATCTGACATTTGGAAAGCACCAAAATAACAATAAAAACAACTATAAGTCAGTCAGTTTTGCAGATACTGGACTGAAATGTTGTGTGGTAGTAGCTGAGAGTTACTCCTTGCTTATGCTCTGAGAGCTGGCAGATCATGAAAGATCTTTGTTAAAACTTTGGTATGCAAGGAAACGACTTAGTGCATTCATTTGAGAAATGTTGTATCTTAAAAAATACATTTTCTTTTGATGTAATGCAATCACACAATACAGCTAAAAATATTTTTAAAATCCACTGTAACCTGATCTAAGTTTCTGTCTCTATCTGGGTCCAGGGGAGAAGACAAAGTTCATATAATGTTTGRGGATCATGTAGCACTGAGAATAGAAGGGATGACACTCGATATATTCAAACGCTTTCACTTTTCTCCAGCGGTACAAAAAAAGGAGAGACAGACAGATAAATCTGTGGTTTCCCTCTGTAACGGGGAAAAGCATTGTACATCAAGACGAATAGACAAAAAAAAAGGTTAAACGTTATCAAACATTGCACTTCATCAATGTTTCAATTTAAAGTGGCTGAAAAGGAACAAGCCAGGTTTCAGTGCAGTGAAAGAGCCTAAAAACCTAAAATGTAAAATGTGCTTGTAAAAGTGTACACGTTTTTTTACAACTCTTTTTGTTTCACTTTTTGTTGCATCACTCACCAAATGATTTTTGTCTGTAATTACTCTGCAGTATGTCACACCCAAACTTTGTTTTAACTTCAAATCTGCGTGTGCTGCGGTATACTTACTGCCTGTTTGATGGATTTTTACCATTTTTTTAAACTAACAACTGAGTGAAGAGCTTTATAGTTTACTATGAATGGTACATTTTATTTGTAAGTTTGTACACACCGATCAGCTGATATATTTGCCACCTTAAAATAAAAATGCTTTCGGACACATCTGTTTAACTCATAGCTTTATRTGCTCATATGTTTTTCTTTTCTATGTTTGAAGTTGTTGTAAAATAAAATACATTTAAATTTAAACAGAAAATATATGTTGTTTTTCTTTCGGCTGTTCCCATCTTCAATTAAAATCCAGATTTAAATCCAGTTAAAGTCATATTCTTATAAATCACATGTATTATTGTTGTCAAATTGGCTAATGATGCATAAAATGCAAGCAGCTTTAAGTTTCAAGTGTCACACCAAAACACACGTTATTTATAATTTATGCTGAAGCGTTAACCCGCGTGTTTAATCAGCTGGAAACCATATTGCTTACTTGAGAAGGCAACAGGTCCAGATCCGAGTCTAGGTTCAGGTCCAGGTTCGGCTCCTCTTCTGCACAAAGTCTGCAGCGACTTCTCATCATTTCGGTTATACAAAAAAAAAACAGAAACATGTCTGAAGGGTGGAGCAAAGCCATAAAACCGCAAACTCACTCCGATCAGGTGTTCCAGATGCTTTCACTTTCTCTTTCTCCGCGCGCTGATTCCCAGAAGTCACGTGATGTGCCGGCAGCAACTCTCTGGTGTTTGCTGTTTTTTACATGATAATGTTAGTCAAACTCATAAAGAAACATGAGCAGATGGCTCCATCTTTGTCCAGGCAAATATTTAGTTGATCTTAAACATAAATAAGTTTTAGCATCTTAAAGGGAAATGACCAGAGGCGTTACCAGACCTTATTTCACTGGGGCATGTGCCCCCCCCACCCCCCCCATAACTGAGGTGGCTCAGTAAAATGTTTTATTCCCATGTTAGAAGCTTGTAAAGTGGCAACGCAAAAAAATTAATAATAATAATAATAATAATAATAATAATAATAATAATAATAATAATTCAAGCATTATGTAGTAAAACACTTTAAACTAGTTTTATTATATAGAATTTGCAGGCTAACTTTGTCTCATGTGACAAACAAGGTACACAAAGGATACTTGTAAATGTACATATAGAGTACGTCCAAAGATACATACAGGATACTTACGAAGGTACATACAGAGTACTTGTGAAGGTACACAGAGGAGATACACACAGAGTACTTCTAAAGATACATACATGATACTTATGAAGGTACATACAGAGTACTTATGAAGGTACACAGAGGATACATGATGATACAGAGTACTTATGAAGGTACACAGAAGATACATATGATGATATATACGGAGTACTTGTGAAGGTACACAGGATACTTATGATGATACATACAGAGTACTAATGATGATACATACAGAGTACTCATGATGATACATACAGAGTGCTTATGAAGATACACAAAGGATACATATGGTAATACATACAGCGTACCTCTAAAGATACATACAGGATACTTATGAAGGCACATACAGACTACTTGTGAAGGTACACAGGATACTGATGATGATACAGAGTACTTGTGTAGGTACACAGAGGATACTTATGATGATACATACAGAGTACTTCTAAAGATACATACAGGATACTTAGGAAGGTACATACAGAGAACTTGTGAAGGGACACAGGATACTTATGATGATACATACGGAGTACATATGAAGATACATACATGTACTTGTGAAGGTACACAAAGGATACTTATGGTAATACACATGGAGTACTTATGAAGGTACACAGATGATATGTATAGTGATACATATGGAGTACTTATGAAGGTACACAGGATACTTATGATGATACATACACAGTACATACAGAGTACTTACACTATATGAAGGTACATGCAGTATGATGGTACATACAGGATACATACAGAGTAAACCCAGGGTGTTTTTCAGGGAACAAATGAGATTTATGTTGTCTTGAAGCAATTTTCATCTCCAAAATGTTACACTTTTCTTTACAAATATTATTTTTTAAACTGTTAAACCATCGTCAATTTGTATAATCCTGACAGACATTTTTATGGCGGAGGCTGCAACCAGTAGTGTCACGTCTAGCTGTGCTCAATATAAAACACAATGTGAAATAAATATACGTATACACAATGCAAAACCGATGGCAGTGTGTGGTTCATAAAATGCTATTTGTATGAATTAAGTTTTATTTTTCAGTTGTTTTTAAGAAGCAACCAATCCACTTCACCCCATTCAGACTAGCTGTTAGCTTGTTCTTCCAGTCAAAATTTAATTCTATTTACTCTAAACTGAGGCCATTCGAAAAGCCATCTACAACAGGTGAGATATTTATAGTTAATAACCAACCACATTTTGAAAGATGTAAACTAATAGTTTGACTCAGACTTTAAAAAAAAGAGGCATTTCCTGAGCTGAGATATGACCCGGTTAGTTATTGCACCTTTAAAAAGCAACTTTGGATCTGCAGTATGGATTTTCACTTCTTATATTTCTGTAGTTTTTGGTTAAAAACGTGTGTATTTGTCAAAACAAAAATATATTTCTGTAAAAGATCCTCTGAGGTTTGTGACGCAATGTGCTTGTAAATGTGTCGTTCAACCACATAACTCTAAGTGGGTCATTTGATTTTTTGTTTTGACTTCTTTTTTTTCCTTTTTTTTTTTTTGGACTTCCTCTTAGTTATTGAGAAGTGGTGCACACTTTGAGTTTTGTTATTGTTCTTTGGAAATTTCTCATATTATGCGAAGATTTCTTCCTCAACCCCAATTATGAGAATTTGTAAAAAAAATACACAACATGCAGCAACACACGCAACATTAAGTAAGATTTTTGTTCCATATTTGAGTCTGATTTGACAATACAGTTCAGTGTGCTTTACTAAACATCTTTTGTTTATTAGAAACAGGAATGAAGCAGTTCCCCAAAAATCCTTCAGTGGAAAAATGTTAAAGATTTAAATTTTTGGGGCACTTTAGGAGAAGATTGACATCAAGTGGGRGATAAAGATATTACACTCTCCCCAAATTATTCATGACAGGATAAAAAAAAGTAACAAGATATGGCTTTCTCAGTTTCAAAAATGTCATTTTGTTTCCTTTACTTTAAAATTAATCATCAGTGGAAGAAAGCATTGAGGAAGCAGATATCTGTTTTTCATCTCCAAGAGCTTCCAAACTGTGAAAACACCAACAGATTTATGACAGATTGGAGTTGATTTATTAAAAGTCGGATACACATCTGTGTCTGTGCATCTTGTGTATAGTTTAACAACTATATAAAGTTAAGCTGTTGAAGTAGTTCCTTAAGTCGGTAAATGGGGCCTAAAGCACATGCAACAACACCAAAATAAATAAAATAAGATAAAAAACCGTATACTCCACAACCAAAGCAAAACCAAAACAACCGTGTAGGCTATGCAATCAGTATGTTTGCCTGGGAACCGCAGGCAAAAAGCCTGCTCTGTCAAAATGAATGTGAAAGCAACACATTTAATTAAAAGATGAGAACATGCAATCAGTTCATAAGAAGCATCAACAATCGAGCTCGGGTGGTTCTTATCAGACACAAACCTGTGCCAACATCTTTGGCAGGCAAATGAAAAACTACAGAACTCAAGCCAGGTGTTTTTAAAGGCAGGTCATTAAGTCATTACAACTCTGTGATAGATTTAGTAGAAGTACAAGTGATATTAGATGTTGCAACAGTTTGTTTGTGGTTCTGAGGTGACAAACAGGTTTGTTTAAATCACTTCACTGCACAGATTTCCAGTGATTTATTCAGTGAATTCTATTATGCATTTTTCTTCCACGCGTATCTCAGTCCAAAAAACGTTATGCTATTTGAAAAAATTTATACATTAAAACATCCAGCTCCATCAGGACATATGTCCTGTGCTATGACTTTTGGTATTTCATCAATTTATACTTTTTGCAATATTCAGCCATTTCTGTCTTTTTTATTCTAATTGAAAGAACATCCATAAAACCCTTTAAAGTTTTACTAAACTTTATCAGCACTTTTTACCTTTTGTTCTAATTAAGCTTTTTGACAAGCTTTTGTGCTAATTTTAGCTTCCTTCAGCTTTTTATTGTTTTTAATTTATTTTTAATTATTTTTAGTCCCCCCCCCAAACTTTTTCTGATAACCTGATATTTTCAGGCTACTGATTTGAACATGCTTGTACTTCAATCAACTTCTTTCTGCTAATTTAATTATTTTATGCTTCTTTCAGCTGTTTTCTGCAATTTAAGCTACTTTTAAGCTATTTCAGCTAGTTTTAGCTTTTTTCAGCTAAATTCACATTTTTGTGAAAACGTCAGCTTCTTACTGCTTAGTTCAGTAAATGCACTTTTCTGCTTCTTTGTGCTACCTTCAGCTTTTCTTCTCCAAAATTCAGTTTTTTGAGCTATATTACAACAAATTCCATGTTTGATTTTTTTTTCTGCAAAAAWTTTTTTTAGCATWCATGCAAACAGAACCAAAACAGTGACATCATGGTKGGCAGAGCTGGATATTTACTTTCAAGTGATGAATGAAGAGTTGTCAACTGAGGACAAGCAACAATTTGCAAAGTTGTCACACATTTTTCACAGTTTTGGTTTCAACAGACGGTGCAGGAGCTTGTCCGTGCTACGATCTCCAGCTGAGGCACACTCCCATTTGGACAACTGAAACAGAATGAGAGCAGTGTTGCTTTCAAGGGTGTAATCACCATCTTAAGTGTGTGTGTGTGTGTGTGTGTGTGTGGGGGGACACTATTTTTAAAGGTCTTTTTTTCTGCTTCGGCTGAAAAAAGTGGGGGGAGAGAGGGCACAGATATTGGAAGTGTGGGGGGACATGTCCTACCCGGTGCCTATGGTGGTTACACCCATGATTGCTTTTTACTGCATAAAAATGCCCACAAGGTTCTGACCAATTCCAACACTCGGACAGCCGGTGAGATATACAGGTTCTGCAGGAACTTGTGCACAGAACAGGTTCTTGAAGGCTATGCGTGCACAAAAAGGTGTTATTTTGTCACGCAACTGTGACAGTGAAAAAAAAAGTATCTTAACCACTCGCAGAGTATAAATGAGCATGAAGTTTCATTTTTTGTTTGGAATTTTTCACTGACTGAAGAAGTTATTTGTTAAAAAAATAACCCCAACTCTAAAAAAGGTTGAAATGTTGTGTAAGATGTAATTAAAAACAGAAAGCTGTTAGATTAGCAAATCATTGCAATCACTGTGAAACATCCCTTCTTCTTTAAACAACAGTCTGTAAACATTTAGGAACAGAGACGACCAGCTGGAGTTTGTRGAGAAGGATGTTGCCCCCTACTTGTCTGTGGGTCTTCAGCTGATTTTTTCTTTTTGTTTGTTTTACTATCAGTTTAAATAAAGTGTCGCCCGGGGGGCCTGATGATCACGAGAATGTGATCATTTGAATGTGTCCTTTGATCAGAGATTTCTCCAGATTCTATAATCTTTTCATGATTTTATGGGCTTGAGATGATGTGAGTTTAAAGTCTTCACATTTTTCTCTTGAGAATATTAATATGTAAAAAAAATCTCTTTCTAAATGTAGTTTTTTGACCCTTTGCCCATTTTTATTTTATAGAGACACAGCATATCTAAAATGCTAATCTCAGCGCAATTTAACCCTTTTATAGAAAATTACTTTGTTCTGTAAATTGTATCACTTTGTATGTAAACTTTTTCTTTTGCTGGTTTAAACATTTATTTATTCTCTAAGTCAGATTGGTCGTGCATGTCTTTGTTTTTGTTGCCCTCAAGTGGCAAAATAAATACTGCAACTTTAATATTCCTTACATATCTTCTTTTATTAATTTATAAAGATAAAAAAGAAAATGCATTATATTTAGCAGTCTTTCATACAGACAACATTTAACAGATACAATAGTATTTTTGAATCAACAAAGTGATTCCCAGAAAGCCATTAGATTATATTTTGTGCTGTTTTTTTAAATTACTGAAAACCTGAAAAGGGGAAACAGAAGGTGATCTGGCTTTACAGCAAAAACATATAGAAAAAAATGATAAAGTATATATATATATATATATATATCCTGGTGGTAGATGCACCATTCTTACATTAGTTGTTAAACTTTGTGTTGGTTTCAGCTGATAGCTCTTATTAATCTTATTGACTGACAGTTTTATCCCCTGCAGCAGGTACAGGCATAAAAGACAATTTAACACTTGGTTCATCATATCACCTGTTGAATTAGATGAACAGGTCGGCTTTCAAAAGCTTAAACATACATGTTTACACTGATATTTGACGATGTTTTCTAACCTGAACATCATGTTCCGGAAGTTCTGACGGTAAGCAGAATCTGACCATTGACATGCGTCTCTGTGAGAGGCTGACCAATGAGCTGCGAGCTGATGGGCGGGTCTTTAGATGACGTAAACGTAAGCATTTGGATGGCTGCTTTTCAGTTTGGCCAGCAGAGGGCGCATCGTCACAACATTTATTCCCTGATTGATGCTGTCAAACTCTGACCTTAGCTTAAATCTGTTTTTGAAGAAGTATTTGTACAATCATCTGATATGACATTAGGTGTTAAGATAATTAACTTACAAGGTCTTTAAAGGTAGATTCAGTAATGTGAAAGGGGCTGGGCTACTCTGAACTAGTTAAATATTAGCTCCACATCAAACTGACTCAACAGTGAAATTCCAGAGGAGCATTGATGCATCAGGAAAACACATCATCCAATATAAGACTTTTACACACAGGGGATTTCCTTTGCAACGATATTACTTTTAAAAACAAACATTATTTTTCCTCTTACTACAAAAAAAAAAAAAACTTTACAAAAGTTTACTGAGAAAATCTGAAAACAATTTTACAAGCATGATTTGTTCATAATGTTTGACCAGTTTTTCTCCAAATATGAAGAGAATCACAAGAAACAACTCGAAGTGTTGTGAGAAAGACATTAAAAAAACGTTTATGGAACGTCAAGTCAACATTTGTTCAGACTATATAGTCAATTTGTGTGATAAAGAGATATCCATGACATCTTGTGAATTAACCATTCCATTGATTGAAAAAATATAATATTTTGTGTCTATTTTAATCCATATATTTGGTGTGTTTCATACCCTGCAATAGAAGACAAACAGTAATACTCCCCGGGTGTTTGCTCCATCAAAGTGAAACACTTTGCATCTGATTACGCCATGGGTTTCTAAAATAGTCTTTTCATTGAACACTTGGGTCCAGCTACAAACCCCYGTGGCTGCGATGTGTCTGTTTGTTGCGGTGGGCAGGTGACAGTTTGAACACATCTTTTTTCTAAAGCCCCCCTCTCACACACATGAAACCTGTAACATCACAGGTTTACATATTCAAGAGGCAGCGGTTCCTATCTTTCACACACAGCCTCCCACACACAACATGTCTGCTGAAAAGAGATTAAAGGCTCAGATGAATCCCTGTTCAATCAGAGGAGATCCCCTCAAATCATATTAGACCCCAGATCTGTTTGATGATCAAACATCACCTTTGATTTATCTATTTATTTTCAGGTAGACYGTCAAAAAAAATGCATATTTATGACATTACAGTATATATAGAGTACACTGTTGTAAAGATTACAGGTTATAAAATAGAACAGGTAATAGGAGAACCATTTAAAGGTCGATGTGCTCGACAAGCTTTAGGACTACAGAAATGTGATTAGATTAGCAGGTAAACAAACATTTAATAATTTACTTTAGTCACAAAAGTGACTTCCGTTTATTGAAAAAAAAAAAGTTCTTTATACCCTGAAACTCCTGCAGTATCATCAGAGTATAACCAGAGTACTCTGACACATAATATTTATTTACTGTTTGTTTTCTTTTAGCTTTTTGTGAAGTAAAAGTTAAAAAGTCAATTGTTTTTAGAGGAGTGTACCTATCCTGTCACAAAACAAACAAACAAACAAACAAACAAACAAACAAACAAACAAACAAACAAACAAACAAACAAATAAAACAAACAAACACAAAACAGTCCATAAAAATGTGCTTACATGAACTTAAGGTAACACTTCAAATCTTTTGAAGCGTGCTTCTGTGGAAAGGCTATAACAGTTAGCATCTTACCTGCTTTAGAAGGCTCTTTGAATGACCCTAGTTTAGAGAATCAGAGAGGACCAGACTGATGAGCTAAYGGCTARTCTACAGACCCAAGAAATACTGCAATATTTGTGTGTTGAAGATGACTCTCAGCTACTACCACCTCAAATTTGAGCTTAATAGTAGCTAAACTAACAGAGTTGTAGCCATTGCCGGACTAGACTGACTCAAACGATTACTTCCTGAAAGATCCATTAAAATGTGTCTAATAGTTTATGAAATATTTTGCTAACAGACAGACACACATACACAGACAGGGGTAACATTCTTGTCATCCTCCTCCTTTTGACACAGTTCAATAATCAAACTTAATGTCTTCATTTCGATGATTTGAGTCAAAAGGTTTAACATCGTGATCCAACTGAATTTTTCTAATTTCACATAGGAGCAACAACTCACCCAGACAGTGCAGGAGAGAGAGAGAGAGAGAGAGAGAGTCTAACTGTGCATGAACACAGAGGGAGAAACATTACAGTTTTAAAGGTGACATGAAGAGCACTGTATATACATTCTGTTTATTGATGTAAAGCTGCTCACCGCTCAATGTGGTTCCAGTTTTGCCATCAGCCGAATCGTTTGTCGATCAGTCGGCGTGGAAAATAACGGGTCCGGACCAGCTGACGGGGGGCGTATCGCCACCTATCATAGCACAATTAGACCTACTTTGGTCAATAAATAGATTCTCTTCTTTTGCTCTGCAAGGACAGCAGTCCTGTTTAATGGACAGACTGAGATATTTAAAAAAGAATGCATGGCTTTGTTTGGTCTTTGCAAGGACAGTCTTGATTTGTAGGTTTTGGACCATCAAGGTGAAGAATTTTGGATAAAAAAACTCTCTTAGTTCTTTCAATTTCAGAGTCAGTGCAGCTGAATCATGGATGAATGATTGTTTTTGTTTTTGTCTGCAGGAAAAGATGTGGAACATAGGARTGTGAATTGTTATTTAAAGCAAAAACATTTGTTGTTTAAGCTGTTTTTTSTCTGTTAAACTGGACAACTTACAAACTAGGAAACAATTTTGAGCAAAAATGGAAGTGTGAATGCTGAGCACTCTTTAAGCTACGAAAAACAGATAAAGACAAAAGCTAATAATAGCAAAACAAAAGCTAGAAGCTAAAATAAAAAACAAAAACAAAAAGTAAAAGAACTAAAGGTTAGTTAAAAGCTATAAGTTGCAAGTAAAAAGCTAAAATCTAAAAGTAGCAAAAAGCAAGCTAAAAGCTAAAAGTTACAAAAATCTGTGAAAAAGGAGCAAAACACTATAGCTATAARCTAAATGAGGTAAAACAGTAGCTAAAGGCTTTTAAATGTTAGCTAAAAGTGGCAAAAGGCAATTTATAAAGAGCAAACATTTAGCTAAATCTAGCAAAAGGCTATGCTAAATGTAGCAAAGGGCCATACAAAAATTTAAAGTCAACCAAAAAAAAAAAGAAGCAATACGTTAAGTAATAAAGCAACAGCTAAGGGCTGATTAAAAACAACAGCTAAAGTTACATGAAGCAACAAGCTACCCTAAATCTAAATGTCAGACAAAAGCTAAAAGTTGCAAAAGTCTAGACAAAAGAAACATAACACTAGCCAGTAGCTCAAAATAACAAAACAGTAGCTACAAGCTGAAAGGGGTAGCAAAAGGTTGGTCAAAAGATGCAATAACGGCTAGAAGTTTAATGCAGCAAAAGCCTAGCTGAAARCTAAATAGGCTAATTAAAAYGAGCAAGACACYAACTAAAAGTAGCAAAACATCAGCTAGAAGTGAAACAGCAAAGTTGAGACTATATTTTATTTTATAATCTTTAAAATGACCCTCTTTATTAGCCAAATAAATGATCAGTTGTGATATTTTTGTGATCATAGAAATAGAATCTCACAAATAAATATTATCAGTCTTGTTTCTTGTCTCAGTTCTCAAACATTGTCACAAAATACCTTTTATTTACACAGTAGGCTACATGTAAACATACTTTTTATTTACACAGTAGGCTACATGTAAACATATCTTTTATTTTACACAGTAGGCTACATGTAAACATATCTTTTATTTTACACAGTAGGCT